GGTTATATGGCTTTAAACTAAACAGGAATAGATTTCTCATGCTTCTGGAGGCTAAGATGCCCAAGATCAAAGCATTGGCATATTCTGTGCCTGTCTCATAGATGTCTGTCTTTTCCATCTAGCTTCTACTGACAGAGGGTCTGGGCTCAGCCTGGGGTCTCTTGTGTAAGGGCAGTGATCTCAAACCCCACAGCCTAAACAGTTTCCAAAGCATCTCCTAATACCATCACTTAGTGGACTGGGACTTTAAAATAGGATTTGGGGGGGACACAGACACTCAGGACTGAAGAGAGATACAATGTTGCCAGACCCTCCAGTTTATACGGAAAAGCCAGAAACCCAAATGTTAAGTGTAGAATTTCCAGGTTTTTCAGTGTTGGCAAGTCATTCAATTTTGTATAATTTGTTTCTGGGCTATTCCAAACCCATCAGTGACTGGTTGCTGCTCACTGACTCTCACTCTTGCAAAATATGGGTGCTCCTTGTAGCACACTCTACTTGGGGTGCTCCTTGTAGCACACTCTACTTGGGGTGCTCTCTGTAGCTAGAGTTTTCCTGCCTGGCTCACAGGACAAATCTTTGTCACCCGCCAGTCCCACAGCCGCTCAGACCCGACCAAGTAAACACAGAGACTTACATTGGTTACAAACTGTATGGCCGTGGCAGGCTTCTTGCTAACTGTTCTTACAGCTTAAATTAATCCATTTCCATAAATCTATACCTTGCCACATGGCTCGTGGCTTACCGGCATCTTCCCATGCTGTTTCTCATCATGGCGGCTAGCAGTGTCTCTCTGACTCAGCCTTCCACTTCCCAGAATTATTCTCCTCCTTGTCCCACCTATACTTCCTGCCTAGCCACTGGCCAATCAGTGATTTATTTATTGACCAATCAGCAACACATTTAACATACAGACCATCCCACAGCAGCTCTCCTTGTCCCTTCCTGTCCTCAGGTTTCCCAGTCTTCAAGATGGGGCCCAGGAAGCTGGTCCAGAGCTGCCTGGTCATCCAGTCTACTTCTTCCTGCAGACTTTGCTCTTCAATAGCATGTGCCTGGAGCCCAGCAACACTGCTTAGGGAAGCTGCAGCCACGAGGGTTAGAGGTTAGAAGTGCTGAGATGTAATTAGGCTGCCTGGATTTGAATACTGGCTTAGCTACTTATTAGCTGAGTGACCTTAGGCAAGATTTTTACCTTCTCTGTAACCCAGTTTCTTCCTTGTGGGGGTTGTTACAAGGTTTAAATGGGATAACCCGTGAAAAATACTTGGTTTATAATAAACTCTCAAAAAAGTGGTACCAGCTAGTGTTACCAAGAGCTTGCTGCCCAATGCACATAAAAGCCAGCACTAGAGCTGGAGTAAGAGCACTTGTATGTGAGCATGAAGACCCGAGTTCTCATCACAACCACCCATTTAAAAGCTAGGCAGGCCATATGCTATCCTAGTCTTTAAAAAAGCAAATTCACCAGTTGATAGTGGTGCATGCCTTTAATCCCAGCACTCAGAGGTGGGGGCAGAGGCAGAGGCAGAGGCAGAGGCAGGCTGGTGTCTGTGAGTTCGAGGCCAGCCTGATCTACAGAGCTAGTTCCAGGCCAGCCAAGTCTACACAAGAAACCTGGTCTCAAAAGGGGCGGGGGAGCAAACTCCAGGATTAGTTCTGTTTTGAGGAAGTATGGTGGAGAGTAATAGTGAAGGACAGCTGATGATTTTGAGCTTCTGACATCATTGACCTGATGAGTTGACTTCTGTTCATGACCACTTTAAAAAAAAACAGTTCTAATCAGTGAGAATTATTAATGAAAGTCCTGGTGGCTTTTCCTGGAAGGAAACACGAGGAATTTATGTTTAGGTGTGTCCAGGAATTTATAGCAACTTCATTATGATTATTGTTACTGGATATTATTGTTCATTGTCATTTCCATTTTTTTACTCTCTTGCTGAAGGATAAACCAAGAGAGGGCAGGAGTCAGGCCTTGTTGTTTTTATTGCTCCCCTATCTGTACCCTTTGAAGCCAAACTCCCCCTAGGGATGCACACTCAGGAACACAATGGACACATGAGAAAATGTTGGTCACAACAGACGGAATTCTTTCAACAGAGGTCTAGTACAAGTCAGCTATATGTCAGGCATGGTTGTAGGTGCCAGCAGCAGAGCACAGAGTAAACAGAGGAAACAAAACACAGAGTAAACACCAAGCACCGTTGGGGCAGCCCTGGCTGCTGCTTCCCAGCTGCTAGTTGGTAGGTATACTTCTCTATATGCTTCGCACGGCGGCCTTTGACTTCAGCATCGGTAAGCCTGCCGGAATTCCCATCCACTGGGGAGGTTAAGAACACTGGGGAGGAACAGGAGCGTCCCTGCCCAACTTTGTTAGTGCTCCTAAAATCAAGTGAAAGCTCTTATACTTGTATGAGCACCAGTTGGCGAGCAGGAAGAATGAATGCAGGCCTCCCAACTGGAAAGGGCAGACACCCAGGGCTTTTTTCTCCTCACCCAGACTCCAACTGTGAGCCTGGGGGTGCAGGGAGCCTTGTGCATGGATTGCCTCACCACAGCTATGCGCTCCAGGTTCCTTGTCAGGGAGTACACTTCTGGGGTGTGTGTGTGTGTGTGTGTGTGTGTGTGTGTGTGTGTGTGTGTGTGTGTGTTGCAGATGGGGAGAGTTACATCACAGAATCACAAGCAACTTTAAAAGTGAGTTTTAGATTTTTTTTTTAAGTTCTTGAGAAGCTACTACTACGAAACTAAGAATTTCCAAATAGAGAACATTTCTGCCAGGCATGGTGCTAGACACATGGAATCCAGAGAGACTGAGGCCAAAAGACTAGGTATGAGGGCGTGATCCTGGGCTGCATAGTGAGAGCTCCCCTTTCTGAATAGAAACAGAGGAGTCCATGAGGGGGGACAGAGGGGAGGTGGGGGAGGGAATGGGGGGAGAGGAGGGAGGGGAAACTGCGGTCGGGATGTAAAATAAATGAAAAATTTAAATAATAATAATAATAATAATAATAATAATAATAGCAATCATAATGCAGCCTGCCCATGGGTGATTAGCATCAGCTAGGTGAACTCTGAATTCCTGACTCCTTCGAGCACCTCCCCTTTCTTACAGTCTAGCAGATGCATCTGCAGAGCCCTCCATCTTCCTTCCTACTTCATTATGCCCAGCAACTCCTCCAACGCATCCCCAGCACAGCTGAAACGATCTTTGTACCCGTCCCAGGGCTACAGCCATGCTGCACATGGCACTGGTGCCATGTTCCCTTTCCTTACCACTCTTACCTTTTCCCTTAGAGAGCTGGTAGGAATAGAGAGAGTCTCCCCGCTCCCCCAACAGGTGGGAATTTTGCCTCATCCTCCCTTGGGTGCCAGACGTTTTTGTTGTCACTCGGGTTCAAATTATTTGTTCCTTACACTACAGGCTAATGTGTGTGTGTCTGTGTACACATACACAAACGCATATGGAGCATCTAGTTCAGTGCCTGCCTGTCGAAAGTTCTCAAGAGAGTTGTTCTATATGGTGATTCCCCGTGTCCCCATCTGACTTTTGGGTTCTGAGGCCACGGAAAAGAGAGAGGTGGTTTCATGTCCCGAGCCCACCCTAGAATTCCCAGTCCAAAGAGGAAGGGGAAAAGCTATGAAAGCTGTTGGTCCGAAGGACCATCTGAAGGAGAAGGGAAGAGGGGAAGCCAGGTAACCTGGGCTAGGAGGAAACAGCAGCTGATAGAGCAATTTGAGCTGTATCGGGACGAATGGAAAGCAACGGGCGCTAGGGGTGTGGGTGTCAGGTGGGAGGTGCTCAGTGAGAAACTCAAGCGAAGGACCAAGTAGCCTGAGTGCTGGTGGCAGGAGATTAGATAGATAGGGGCCAAATTGTGACTGGCCTTATGTAGACTTATTCCTGTAGGCGATAATGAGCCATCAGAGGTTTTGTAAGTAGGGGAGTAACATGATCAGAGCCGTGTTTAAGGAAGATTAATTAAAAATACTGTATGGTGTGTTTAATTCATGGTTAGCCCTGGGCTGTAGAGGAGACAGGAGATGAAGCCAACAAGGCCCCAATGAACAGGCAATTCACAAAGTAACAGCCAATAAACATATGAAAGGATGTTCAACCCCACTAGAACACAAAGAAATGCAAATTAAGCAACAATGAGATACCATATTTGGCCTATCAAATTAGCAGGGATTAAAAATTTAAAAACCCTCGCTGCCGCCTAGGGTTTGTGAGGCCAGCCATTACTCACCGCTGGGCGGGGCTCCCAAGTAGCAGCAAATAACCCCAGCCTTAGGAGGAGATTCGAAAAGCTTTTTTAAAAGGGCACATTGTGTAACTCAGAAACCCTATTTTTAGGTATTTATCCTAAAGAAATCATTGTGGATGTGAGTGAAAACGCATGGCCTCTGTGTCCTGGGTGTTACTTAAAAAAGCAAATAACTGTGTTGAATGAATGGGGATAGGGTTCAAATTGTGTAATGGAGATTTCAGAGACTGGACATTAACATTTCTGAATCCTCAAAGGCTGGAGGCAGGAGACCAAAAGAGTGTTTTAAAAAAACTGCTGTGGTACCCAGGTCAGGTCTCTAAGGGGAGCCGCTAAAATTTGTCCTGTGACCAGACGGTGCCTTTGTTTGGCTTTGGACATTCAGGCTGGCCTCTTGGTCATGCAGATGTACCTCAAGTACCTATTCTTTGTCTTGGGGAGGCCCTGACTCCATATGCAGATGCTGTAAGCAGCGATGTTAAGCATTCTGTTTAATTATGTAAAAGGCTGTCTTCATGGTGGGCTGGGGGGCATCTCCACAGACTCTCTTGTGATGTTAAATGATTTTCAGCTTGCTTTGGTTAGGCTTTGCAATAGCAAGGGGGCAGGTGGGGCGGGGGGTCACTGACAGCCCTGGCAGGAGAATAGAAAGGACAGAAGAAAAGAGCTGTGGGTTTGAGGAGCCTAGGTTCCCAGGCCTGAGGCAGAAGTCTGTTCTAAAGACCGTGACCGCCAGCAGTGAGCCCTGGGAAAGGGCAGAGATTCTCAGAGGAAAGCAGGTCGTTGTGACGATCGCAATTCCTTGGATCAACATTGCTCTAAAGGAAGGTCTGTGCTCAAGAGGATTTTAGGTGGTTCGTGGAAGAGAAAGGAATGGAAGACTTGCTCAGGATGAAGCGCAGGCTAAAAAGGACAGAGCACCCTGATAGAAAGGCCAATACTAGGAGCATGTACTAGGAGAGGTGGAATGTGCATGCAACAAATCTAGAAGGTTGCTTGGAAACATTCCTGTGTGCCAGCCAGGAGGCATCGGCAGGTGAGTCAATTAGGTTCATCTGGCTGTTGGAAAATAACAGGCATTCTGTTTGTTGCCTGTCTGTGGTCCGAAGAACCTGATGGGGCTACAGGAACATTGAGGGACAGGGACAATGTGCGGTAGAGGGGAAGAGGGACACCCTCCAGCATTGGCCTGGGATGTAGTCAATAAAGGGTAAGTGTCAGGGCAAGTGTCCCTGAGGCCGGAGCAGCATAAAGCTAAGGAGTGTGCTGTGCTTGCTCTGGAAGCCCAGGTAGGTTCTCAGACTTACGGCCATCTGGATTTTAAGAGAGTTGTGGACGGCTGAAGGACTTGGAAATGTCCAGGTCATAAATGTCCAGGGTATCAGGCAGGTGGTTAAGCTGACATTCTAAACACTGGTTTGAAAGGATTTCTGATGAAGTGGCAGTGTGTCAGTGAGATACAGTGAGGTAGGAAACATACCAAAATAGTATGCACACCAAAATAATATGGGTGACATACCCATGTGGTGACCAAGAAAGAGTCCTAAGAAACCACTGTGTTTGAATCAAGGAATATTTAGTGTGAATAATCATGATCCTCAAAATTCATGATGGTACTAAGTAAGAGTGGTGGCCTTAGGTGGAATAGTATCATGGAGAGGTAGGATTAGTGCCTATGTTACTGGACTCAGGGGGGTCACAGCTTGTGCTCCCAACAAGCCAGTTTGGGCCACCGCTAGGGGCCCCACAAACAGACCAAACCTCTCAACGGTCACCCACATGCAGAGGGCTTATGCCAGTTCCATCCGGGCTCCCTAGCTGTTGGTCTAGTCTGTGAGCTCCCACAAGCACAGGTCAGCTGTCTCTGTGGGTTTCCCAGTCATGATCTTGACTCCTCTGGCTCGCACAATTCCTCCTCCCTCTCTTCAGCTGGACTCCCGGAACTCGGCCCAGCGCTTGGCTGTGCGGGATTCATTATTTCAACAGTCCAATAGTCAAAGAAAGGAGCACAAATGTGTTTTTAGAATACATTCATCCCAGCTAGACAGGCTGTTTATACCTAGTGACCCCAGGTACAGAGAGGGATAGATGGCTCTCTATCCCTCTTTCCAACATGTGGGCTCTGTTGGCGGTCTGCAACCAGACTGCAACTTTCTTAGTACTCCAATCTGCAGAAGTGTGAGGAATGCATTTCTTGAGTTTATGAGCTGCCCAGTCTTCCTATAGCAGTCTGAACTAAGATGAGATCAGAAAAGTACCTCTTTTCCAGGCCACTTTCTTGTTTTGGTTTTGTTTTCTTGTTCGGAGAAAAATACTAGATCCCAGAGAGCAGTCAGAAGTGGGTTGCAGCCATCTCCAAGAGGGATGCCAAGGCTCTGTGCTTCCACTGAGGCAGCTGGCGGGAAAAGAAAAGAGAAGAGGAGCCAAGGAATACTGAGAGGCAGGAACCTGAGACACTTGGTGCCAAAGCGGATGAAGGTGAGGCAAAGGGGTGCCCAGGTGTTTGGGGGAGCTTGGACTACGAGTGGAACAGGTGGTCTGGAGAACAAATACATCTAGCCTCAGGCATAGCTGTCACAGGTGCCCTGCCGAGGGCACGGCATAAGCCCCCGAGCACTCTTACAGCTTTGATAGCACCCAAGAGACTATTTTCCCACCACCAAGGAAGACAGCCTCAGGGAAAGCCTCCGATTGGCTGGCTTTGCTGAATGAGGAGGTATCTACTCAGTTGCTAGGGAGGCCTAGGTAGGCAGAACCTCTGAGCCTTGGAGTTACAGACCAGCCTGGGAAACAGGGCAAGATCCTACCTCATAAACACAGAGCAAAACACAAACGGCAAAACAGATGGTGATTGACTGGTTGAATATGCATGCTCTTCCTGTGCCAAGCAAGCCCAGGCTATGACCTGATGACGGGGATCGGTATATTACACTGACTGTGCTCTGGTAATCCAAGTGAAGGTGGGTCCTCAGTGTGGACCTTAATGCATACAACTTCACTGATGTGTGTCCATGGAGAAAGAAGGCCATTCAGATGCTCAAGTTAAAACATCATTTTCTCTCTCTCCCTCCCCCCTCTCTGTATGTGCATGTGCAAAGTGTGCACGTGCGTATCACTCATATTCTCCAGATTCTCAACAGCCGATCTGTCTCCTCCCCATCTTTAAGGTCACTGTCCAGGTCAGTATTCAGTGTCTGTCACAGGGCCACTTGCCCTACCTCTGGGTCTGTTGCTTCAAACTCTGTAGTGCACCACTGCTGCCGCCAGGACAGTAGTCTGAGGAGCGCCTCCGAGTTCTGGCATCCTGAGTGAGTTTTTTCTCTCTGGCCTACAGTTTGCTCTGGGACCAAATGAGTTAATACTGGGAAGGCAGCTAGAACAGAGGCTGCCAAGTTCTGCCTGACTTCTCACTGTCATTCTCTCACCGAAGACTCCAGCTTTTCGTTCTTGAGTTTTCCCTGCCTGCCCCTCCTTCACCTCCCAGGATGATGAGCAGGGGGCCTTGGGAAATACCAAATGCCTGGCCACTTTGAATGTGTGGAGTCTTGGACACTCTCTTTTACTTGTATACTTGGAGTTACTTTGGGCTGCTTCCTTCTCGTAGACGAGGAAGCGAAGTTTCTTCGAAATCAGCACAGCTGGCATGGGGCCAGGCTGGGATGCTCCTGGGACTCTATGGTCAAGGCAGCAGGAAGAAGACCCGGTTAAAGGTCAGTGGCACCCAATTCCAGTTTCACTGTTGCCCGATTCACCTTATGGTTTCTGAACTCACGTTTTTCCTTCCCCGGGCCTCAGTTCCCTCAGCGGCATGAAAGGCTTGGGTTAGAAAGACCCCGAGGGCACCCTATCAGTAGGTGTCTGGTACCACCTTGTCTGTCCTCACCCCACACTGCCTCTCCTGAGATTGGCCCCCGAGAGGACAAATGGCAGTGGAGAGCAGGGGCAGGGAGAGGTGACAGTGCCGGAGGCGGAGGCAGAGGACTCATTAGGCCTTAATGAACTCTAGTTGAGCATATTGACCACCTCTCCAATCCTTTCCTCCTAATTCAGTCCTCAGGGTCAGCAGGCCTCTGTCTTTCCTGGGCTTCGTGCCCATCCTCTCTCTAAACAGTCAAGGGCTCTTGGAAGGGCTGCCAGGCCCACAGAGCATGAGCAGGAGGAGAACTGCTAAAGTGTGAACCCCACCTCCGGCTTGCTGCCCCCCTCCATCCTGCAGTGGTAGCCAGGGCCAGTCTCATGGGCCTGCTGCCAGAGGGCTCCACATTTGGTTTAACACCATGCTGCCCTACCTTGAAATTCTTATTTTGTTGTCAGGGAGTTTCCTGGTTTTATTTGTACCCAGCCTTGCACAGACTAGCCTGTGGGCTGCACAAATGGCCTGCAAAAGCATACAGAATGGAAGCCCTGCTTCATTTTTCTCTCCTGTACACTTGAGCTATATTAAGAATCTCCCCGCTGGGTGGCGGTGGCTCACACCTTTAATCCCAGCACTTGGGAGGCAGAGCCAGGCAGATCTCTGAGTTCGAGGCCAGCCTGGTCTACAGAGCGAGCTCCAGGACAGGCATCAAAACAACATGGAGAAACCCCGTTTCGGAAAAAAAAAAAGAATCTCCCCAAGTCTCCTTTGATCCAGCCCTTGGACTACATAAGGGGACAGCTTCCTTACTTGGCAGTTGACCTTACTGGTTCTCAAGAGATCTTTGAGGCACTTTTGCCCATCAGTACTTCTATGGGATGAAACTGGCCCTGGGCTAGTTTCCTTGCCTATTGGTCAATCAAGAGAACTCATGCAATAAGCCACTGTAGAACAGTTGTGAGAATGTGGACACTTCTAAGGAAATCATGAGTCTGTGGATGCAATGCATGCCTTTCTTTCCAATGCCCAGAAGGCTGAGGTAGGGGAATCTGTGTGTTCAAGGTCACCCAGCTCTACACAGAGAGGTCCAGCTTCTGTCAGAAGAAAAAAAAACCATGAGATGTTACCTGGTTTGAATGAGAAATGCCCCTCCCCCATTGACACATAGCCTCTAGCTGGTAGTGGTACTTTAAGAGTCTATGAACCTTCTAGAAGGTGGGGCCTCATTGAAGAAAGGGTGTCACTAGGGACAGGGCTTGGAAGGTTGCACTTGGTTCCTGGTTTTTTTTTTCTTGCTTCACTCTGGCTCTGTTTCCGGGTCCACAGGGATGTGCCCAGGTTGTGCTGTGTACTACTGCTGAAGAAGAGGGCCCCCAAGGCCAGTGCGGACAGCTCTTCAAGTCAGGGTTTTGGAATTTAGAATTTTCGGCTGGAAGCCAAATCCCACAGCTCCTGGCATTGTTGTCCACTGAGCCTAGGCCTGTGCTGGCACAGCCTCCTTCTGAGGGTCAATGGGAGTGGAACCCCTGACCCTCCACTGCCCTTGGAGATGAGGTACCCCAGCCTCCCTCAGATCCCACAACTGGCTGCCAAGTCTGGCTAGTGTGTGCATGGGTGGCAGAGGGCCCAGATATCCCCTGCTTTGCTCCCTCAGGCTGTCGCTGTTCCCTGGGGCCCAATTAAGCCAGTGCTTTGTCCCTGGGCAGCAGAGGCGGGTGTCCCTGGCACTCTTCGGCTCCACACTCCATCTCTTCATCAGCTGTCGCCAGACAGCCCACATAATGTGGGGATTTCATGCTCAATATTCTTGATGAAAGTGGAACATCAAAACCTCAGCGGGGTGGACACATGGAGACTAAGTGAGACTCTCACCCAAGGAGCTATCATCCTAGCAAAGGAATCAGCGAAGCTCCTCTCGGGCTGCCGCCAACGGGTTTTGTCATTAGTGGTGTTGTTGTTATTGGCTTCCCTGCATCTGAGGAGAAATAATAAGTTATCCTTTGCTTTTGCACATGTGTGTCTGTGTGTGGAATCTCTTGGCTGATAGCAATCTCTGCCTCTTGTCATACTAAATATTGATCGGCACTGTTGGGAGACGCCAAGGCTTTAATCTTCTGGCTGCGGCTCCCTGCACACTGATGTGGGCGTTGGGGAGGAAGATCATATTGTTTCTTCACACACCTGTTTTCCACTTGCTTCACTCCTGCACAACACTCGGGCTATTAATGCCCCGGGAAATTGGCTTTCCTGTAATGTCACTTTCTCTCTTCACTTTTCTGGTGTGCCAGCCCCAGGCAGTCACACCACCCACACAGAGCCCTAGGGCCTAAGCAAAGGAAATGGGGCTCTCAGGCAGTCTTTCTTTGGTTCTTCATTCATTCAGTAACGGTGCTATCAAACATTTGTGAAGTCTCTACTGCAGGACAGGCCCAGGGCTAGGTTCCATGAATGCAGAGCCCCATGGGGCATAGTCTCTGATACCCACTTAGAGCTCCCAGTCGATAGGAAATGAGCCTGTGATAGTCATCAGCATGTGGCAGGAAGGCAAAGCAACCTGGCAGGTGATTCAGCAGAGGGGAGGCAGCCATGAATCCTTCCTGGAAGAAGTGATCTCAAGTCTGGATTTTGGAGCATACACTTTGAACAAATGAATAGGAGGGTAGTGTCTGCTGCTGGTTAGAACCTGTTCTGCCACTGGTCTGCATGACTTGGAATTAGGTCATAGGTCCCATCTGGCTTCGTTCTGTAATTTTCAAGATTTATTTTGTTTGTGTGTGTGGATGTTTGCATCTGTGCACATGTGGGTACCCGTAGAAACCAGCAGTTGGATCCCTGGAGCTGGAGTTAAATACAGTCCAGTGTGAGTGCTGGGAACTGAACTCTGCTCCTTCGCAAGAGCAGCAAGCGCTCTTAACCAATGAGTCATCTCTCTAGCCCATCTACCTGAAAACGCAACATCAGGGCATGGCCAGGTGGTGTACCTCTGTAATCCTAACACTTGAAAGACTGAAGTAAGAGGAAGACTATGAAGCAAGAGTTCAAAGACAGCCTGGGTGGGCTACATAGTGAGACATTTTCAGAGAGAGGGGAGGGGAGGGGAGGCAGCGGGAGGGAAAGAGGGAGAGAGGCAGGAAGGGAGGGAGGGAAGGAGGGAGGGAGGGAGGAAGAAGAGTATGGCAGGATTGCTCTAAGTCCCAGGCCAGGCTCCACTATCTATTGAGTTCTAGGACAGAGTAGGGCTACAGTGTGATAACTTGTGTCAAAAACACAGAAAAGGCCAGAGGTGGTGACACATGCCTCTCATCCCAGCACTCAAGAAGCAGGAGGATCTCTGTGAGTTCAAGGCCAGCCTAGTCTACATATTGAATTCCAGGACAGCCAGGACTAAATAGAGACTTTGTCACAGAAAAAAAAAAAAGAAAAAAGAAAGAAGAAAAGAAATGAAGGAAGAGGAGGAGGGGGAAGGGAGGAGGAAGAGGGGAAGGGAGGGGGAAGGGAGAGGGAAGAGTCCACTACAGGGCATAGGGTTCCCTGGGTGCAAGGTGTGTGTGACAATATGTCTGTCCTGACAGAAAGATGAGCCTGGGCTCACATAGTCGTGCCACTGACAGGAAACTTCTGAAGGGGGTCCAAACCTGCCAGTGCTGGGCTTCTGTCTGAAATGGAAGGAGAAAGGAATGTGCTGGAATTGTGCTGGGCAAAACAGGAGGCGTTTCCACTTGTGGGATGGATAGCACGAGATCCCTGGCACGATCTAGTAATGGGGTCTCTGACTATCAACCCAGAAGCCCACCCAGGGTGTGGCAGGTCTAGAAAGAGACTGACTCAGCAGGTGGGGTGATAGCTTAGACTGGTGGAAAGGCTGACTGCACCCCATAGGAGCTGGCAGACCTTGAACAAACCGCACAGCAATCTTCAGTTTTCACACTCTAAAATAGAGGTAATGACAGTACTGATGTCACTGAGGTTGCAATGAGGTAATAAATGAAAGCGACTTGGCCAGCATAAACCAAGTGCTCCCATGTCATTGCTACTAATGGCTGAGGTCACAGAATCACTGAATAGCAGAGCTATAATTCCAACCAAGGTTGGCTCAAAAAAAGCCGCCTCTCTGATGGCCTCTGTGTCCTCTTGTCTGCTGCCTGCTTGCTGGCATGGCCACTCAGCATCTCTCTGGAGCGATACTGAGCTAAGTGTCAGCTGGGACACTGGCTCCTTTCTGCTCACAGAGCTCATGAAGCCAGCTGCTGGATTTCAGTGCTGAGTGGTAAATGCTGCCATGGAGGAGGGAACACAAGGCCCGCGGTACTCAGCCAACCATCAGCATCACTGGAAGGAGAAGGGAGTCAGGCTTTTAAAGACAGCTCTGGTAGTTCCCACCCAGCGCGCACTCTGCCCTTCTCCCCTACTAACAAAGCCCTAGTTTTACCCATGATGGCACAGCCTAGCTTAAAGACTGTTTCCCAGGCCCTTCTATGACCACACGTGACTCAATTCTGACCAATGAGATTTAAAAGGAAATGTCATACAAGACTCCTGGGGTAGCTGCTTCAGAGGAAGGTGATTTAGTTTGGACGTGTTCTTTTTCTGCTGTCCATTGTGTCGAATGGTGCTGTGATAACTGGACCTCCAGCAGCGGAACCCTAACAGGCCTTTAAATGTGAAGTCGAGAGATGGAAGGAACAGAGATCTTGATGGCTGCAGGATCACATCCCCATGCTTTTTTCTCCCTGCCATGTTGCATGTGAGATTGCAAACCCTGTGTGTGTGTGTGTGTGTGTGTGTGTGTGTGTGTGTGTGTGTGTGTGTGTTTGTTTGTTTGTTTGTTTGTTGAGACAGGGTTTCACTGTGGCC